TTATAAAATATTCATTGGAAAATAAAAAGTCACAGGACAATTGTATATATAAACATATACATATATATATTTTCCTTCATTGATTATATTCTACTTAACTGTATTTTATCAATTCTAAAATGTGAGCCTTCATATTGTAACATCTTTGACATCAGGATAACTTGATACAAATGGCTTCTTTCAGTTATATTGTAGCATTTTTTTTTCTTTTTTCATCGTTCATAAAATAAAGCCACATCCTCCAATTTAATAGCCAATAACACATCAAGGACATTAGACGATATATTTCAAAGGCTATAACAACAACAACAAAGCCAGCAAAAAAGAACTAAATGTCCCTGTACATGCACTGTCGGATTACTGTTTAAAGCTCAAGCGCACAACAAAACCAGAACTCAAAGCAGTCCAAGTATTGAAGGGGACTCACCAGAGTTGGGGTCAGAGTTGCCATCTGCTTCGGTCCTCTTGTCCGGAGAGGCCTGGTCATAGAATTCGTCCTGTGGCTGAACCAGAGGAAGAGGGTGTGAGATCAGGGTTCCACTACCCACCGGCTCGTGGTCTCCTAGACCACTGTCACTGCAGCTTTCCTGGGAGCCATCAGGGAGGTGAAACGTAACACGGCGCTGCGACTACAAAGAAGACCACAGGACATGCCAGTTAACACTCCTCCCAAATAAAATGGAGTAGCGGAACACAAAAATCAAAAAACTTTCAACAAGTGACACAATGCAAAAGCAAAATAAATGAAACTAGGAGCAAAGCTAAGAACAAGCATTCATTTTTTTGCTAATTATTATGTAACATCCAATCAGCAAAATATCAAGGATTTCAATCTTGTATAATTTAATCTTGTATAACAAGAAAGGCAAAACAACAACAACAAAAAACACATTATATCAGTCAAAAAAACGATAGAATAACTAAAATAAGAAATACACATATATTTTTCATAGAGCTGAAAAAATACATAGATAATGTGACATTCGTTTCTTTTAAATGATGAGACATGTTTACTTGATGTTTTTAGGGTAATTTTTGCAATCAATATATTTCCAACACTATTGCCTGCTATTTTTAAAGGACAATTTATATATATGAGCAATACTGGAACAGTAAACGAAAAGTATTATTTTGAGAGTCTCATGCTCTACTGATTGAGCTAGCCATATTAAAATTCTTATTTTAAATAACCAAGTTCTAGGCAATTGCTATTGATATATAGGAAAAAAGACTATATTTTAACAGAGATTAAATTAGTAATCATTCTTACCCGCTGGCCCAGATATTACTACCAGTCTTTAACCAGAATGATAGTAGAATAGAATAGTATTCTACTAATAGTAGATAGAATACCATAGTTGATAGGCATTTGAAATATGACTTTGGCATCTACTTCTACAATGTCATTCTCAGAAGTGATCTAAAGTATACATATAGTTACTTCAATAAAATTTAGTGTTTTAATAAAAATAAAACTGTGCATTTCTTTCAGCACAGATTGGTTTAGTTCTCTTGGTAAATATTCTTTTTGCTGATGTAATCCATGAACTATGAAAATATTTACAGTCGTGTGGTGTTGAGATTTAGGCATTAGGGAATTATATGAGAGTAGTAAATTTGTACTATATGACTGAACCTAATTTTCTTTCTGCTTTACAGCAAAAAGACCTTTGAATATCATGCCACATATGACCACATTTTTTTCAGATTTAATAAAATGATGAATATATAAATAAGAAAATATATAATATATGACTATGTAATTAATAATATAACCATTTTCTAGTATCTAAAACTTGTGTTTTTCAGGAGACAATTTATAAAAAAGTTTTTTTTTAAATTTGTAGTTAAAAACAAAATGCTATAGATAGATATACTGCAACTCTATAAATCATTTTATAGACTCACAACAGAACAGAGCCTATTTCCTGTTAGTCACTGGTTCAAATCCAGCCCAGAGTCATAATGGAGAAGAGCTGATACCACTTTACTGCAGTCCAATGACCTTTGTGAAATTAGTTGATACTTCAGTACATTTTTAATGAATTGATGCCAACGTCACATAAACTATAACCATAAATGGTATTAATTGCCTCTGTCACGGCATATTTCCCCTCCATGCACATCCGTCTCAAGCAAATCATTCCCTTCTCAAAGGTCTTGAAAAATGCCTAGGTGAGTGCCATAGAAGAGGCGAGCCTAGCTTCAATGTATTTCTCTTTGTATGAGGAAGGTCATATTAACCTTTTTATTTATTGTAGCGATTCCTCGCTCATACGCATTTAATCTTCTAGGGAAAACCAATAATATAAATATGTTCAGTTTATGTTATAATATGCCCTTAAAATATCAGAATCTTTTTATGATAAAGACAGTGTAAAGGACCACACTGCCTGTGACACATGATTGTCAAACAAACATAGCTTAAAACAATTTTTTTTATTTCAATAAATTTAGGGGTATCAGAGGAGTTTGATTACATGAATATGTTTTATAGTCATGAAGTCTGGGCTTTAGGCATCCTTGTCATCTGAATAGTGTACATTGTACCCAATAGGTAGTTTTTTCATAGCTTCAGCATTTCTGAGTCTCCAGTTGATTTACTAAAAAGTCCATAGATTTTTAAATATGTTTGGTGTTATCTCTAGAGAGATCTCTAGAGATAAAAAGACAAGATCTCTAAAGATAAAAAGAAATCAAGACGTAAGAGAAAGACAATGAAGTAGATGATTCTGAAATCTTTATAAAACATTTCTGTAAGTCTCATAAGCCATTAAGAAGTATATGTTTCATAGAAGAAATAGGAAGAAAAATTACATCTGTGATGTTTTTTTAAACATAATTAATTTTGCTTTAATTAGAATACTTTTTTCTCCTAAGAAATGTCCAAACATGCAACTCTACTTTATGCCTTAATCCAACAGTTCTTAAGGTGTGGTAATTAGAACAATTATTTATTGAGCATGTACTATAAGCCTGGTTCAATGATTACGCTGAGAATAAAAAGTAAAACACGTTTTTCCAAAATTATTTCAAATATGGCTTATTAGACTCCATGTCACATAAATAACACTATGATATTTCTTTCACATTTTATACTTGAGAATAAGAAAAGGTATAAATTTAGTGAAATTGATTTGCAGTGTTGTGCTGTAAGTTCAAATGATATAATGTTTAAACTATTGTGGGTTATGAAAATATTTCTGAATTAGTTTGACTCAAAGATGTTTAAGTCTCAATGGACAGAATTTTGCACAATTTATCAGTCCGATGGGAGGTGGAGTTGGTGATGCATATAGACTAAGAATTTGTATGTGGATATTATGGTATGAAGCAAATTGATCAAACAAATGTATTTTTCATTTATCAGCATAA